TTAAGTCTTTAGTGTGCTATAGTTTTAGTTTTAGCACATTTTTAGGATTTAGAAATATACCTAGTCTATGTTTAGGAGAGGATCCTATTCATTATATTAGTAGGTCTAGTATCATAGATTTCTTTAGGTTCCGTGAAAGGATTCCTACTAGGATATACCTTTCACATTTATTTGTTGAAAATATCACCTCTCATGAATTTTATTATATATTTGTAGGTGTGGCCAATAATCATGAAGACCCTCGAGATTTGAGGTCAAATCCTTCTCAAGAGGGAAGGGATGATAGACTATGGCCCAGTCCAAGGAATCCAAGAGGTGATACCTTCACAATCATAATCACATCCATACAACATCTCATTTCATAATTCAAATTCACATCACGTACACAATTCCACTTCACATACACAACAGATAAGCCCACTTCACATACAATATCCCCATCACGAATTTGTATAATCACAACAACAATTAATTTGAGATGTGTGATAATATTATCTTCAAAAATTTATTCATGTGATACACAAATTCCTGAAGATTTAACAAATCATTTCAATAATAATTGGTGTAACAAAAATTAACAAATTTTTTTATAAGAATAATTCAAGAATTTATAAGAAAAATGTGTTAAGAATGCTTTAGAGTATTCTAAAAAGTCTTTCAAAATATCATATATATATATATATATATATATATATATATATAACTATTTCTCAAACCATTTAAAACCAAGTCAACTAGTTAATAGGATAAGGTAAAACAAATTCTTAAAAGACAAAGTAAAAAGAGTAAAAGAGGCCTAATCAACAAGATTAATTCTAAGTAAAAATAGTTTTGATAAGTCATTAAAATAATTTTTTAAAACTTAATGATTTAATATATTAACCATTTTGAAATAGCACTCTATTAGGATGCAAATAATATTTCACATCGTTCAAACAAGAGATGAACATAAATTTATATACATACAATTATCTCCATTAGTAAGAAGCCTTTTGGTGATGTCTAAAAGGAAAATCGAGAGAATATAGTTCTTTTGCCTCGATGAGTATGATAGAGTTGGTAGATAGATGAGTATGAGATCCCTTGTATCAAAAGTCTTTTCCATAACATGGAGGGTTAAGATTAACACGATGGAGCGACGACACAAGCATCTAGAGCGTGACTGGACTCTATGGACCACCATTAGATAATACTCATGGATTAACTTCTCAGCAAGGAAAATAAACCATAGTCATTTATTTGAAGGAAGGAATACATTTTCTTTAAACAAGAGGATGAATTTGAGTTTATATACATACAATTATCTCCGTTGGTAAGAAGCTTTTTAGGTGATGTTCAAAAACAAAATCATGCGAGTTTAAGTTCAAAATAGATAATATCTTACCATTGTGAAGATGTGTGTGTGAAACCCCCTTGTGCATAACACATTCAAAATATACACTTAAAATCATGAGAGTTTAAGTTTAAAATAGACAATATCTTACTATTATGGAGATGTGTGTGTGAAACCCCCTTAGTGCATAACACACCCAAAATATACAACAAAAACAAATTACCCTTTAGATACATTTTAAGAAAATTGAAATTACAACTTAGTAAAATACTTCTTAATGACAAGCATGTATTCTACATTAACAAATCTCATATACATGTTCACGACTTGTCTCCAAACATAACTACAGCACAATGCAAACTATATTTTCTGAGAAATATCTCACTACATATAAGAAAATCAATCACCTATTAGAAATCTGTCAGCACACGAAAGTGTCTGCTGGCAATAACCAGGTCAAGAAAAAAAGGATAAAGTCATTCCAAAATCCAAATCGCAAGAAAGCTCTTTCCCCAAGACAACACGGAAGGCTGAGTGCTAAGTTTTTCAGGTTGGCAGCACAGGTTCATTAACAAATCAAGACAGCACTGATTCTCTACAAAATATTACATCTGTGTTGTCTTCTTTCTAGATAACGCCAGAGCATAAAACTAGAACTTTGCTTGAGCTATATAAAATTTAAGAAAGGCAAAGAACTCACACTACGAAGATTATACAACAAATTTATGAAAAGCAGAAGAACAAAATTGAAGGCCACAGCAAGCATTTATAGACAAATGATTGCTCAGGCAAGAGATGGTGTTTAAAACTCTACTAAACTGAAAAACCTCTGCTCCTTTTCCTCAAGCTGCGTGATGGAATATGTTAGCAATCAACAATTTGACACCTCATAAATGGGTCTGTGTCATCATCTCTTGGAATGTGAATTTACATAATAGCACAGGAACAAGTTTTGCCATTGTTAAATTCATTAACTGACCCATCTGCTTCGCTGCAATTGAACGTCAATCACGATCTCAGAATAAGTAGAAACAAAACAAGAAAATGAAAAATATAAATATGACATGGGGAAAGGGTGTCAAACTTCCATTATATCAAGCTCATCCATAGAGAATAATGAAATGTTATGCAACAGAATAAATAAAACTAATGTTTGTCAACTAATTGTAGTTGAGAAATTGAAAAATACACTAATTGTAGTTGAGCCTAATTTGTGACGTACTTGTTTATATAACACGTGGAGAAAAGAAAACATGGGCGTTACTATATGCAGTGAATACTACGGTCACTCATTTAAGAATTTGCTTTGAAAGAAAGTACAAAATATTGTTCAGAGAAAACCGTCATTTTGGTCCTCAAAGGTTGCATGCATCACCACATCAGTCCTTCCAAAATTTTAAAAGCAAATTGGAAATAAAAAGACTCTGAGGAACTAATTTAGTGTCAGATTAAATCCTCCAATTCAGTCACAAAATCTTTGGAGAATTAAAGGGTGAAAAAGAATCTTAGAGGGACTAATTTGGTGACAATAATTTTATGGGACTAATGTGATAATGTGCGTACCTTTGGAGGATAAAATTTAGGGATTTTGTTGTTAAAAAAGGTTGGGACAGATTTACACTTTCTGGTAGAAATTTGTAACAAATGTTGTCAAAATTGAAATCTTACCTAAAATACAAATAAATTTATATTCACACAAACACACCAAATTGGGGATATTCATCGAATTGAATTTGACCTAAAAAAAAGAGTCATCCAAACTAAATTAAATTGATTCAAATTAGTTTGGTTAATTAGTTCATTTAACTTCAAACCCGAATCAAGTCAATTGCAGTCCGCTCAGTTCTTGGATTTATCATTTTCCGACCATAACTAACCCAATCATCCAATCAACCAGGTTTTTTAACTTTAAATTTATACCTTCTAGACTTATCTAGACCTTTCCTCTATTTTTTTTTCCTTTTTCATTTATTTTGAGTTTCTTATGTATGTATTATTAATTGTCTTTGGTTATGTTTACTATGTATCCTCTTTATAGATTCTAATGGGATTAGGATATATAAAATTATAGTTGTAAAAAAAGTTATATATTAGTTGAAAATAATATTAATGTTTGGAATTGATTTAAATGTCATATAAATTATTGAATTTTTTTAATTTATAATATTAAAATTAAATTTTCATATAATAAATAATTTGACAATAAAAATATACAAATATAGTAATATTTTGAACCTAACCTGATGGTGCAAATAAAATCAATCTAACCTAAATCGGACTAGTTTAGCTTAGATTAGTTAAAAAAATTAAAAATAAACATACAAACAAACAAATTATATGTGTTTGGTTTGAATTTTATTTCAACCTAAACTCAAACCAAACCAACACCGTCCTACAATAGTTGCATAGTTGGTTAGGTCTCTCTGCTCTTGCTAATTAACCTGGGATCAAATCTGATTTCTCTTGTACTTTATATCCTTCTGCTGATAATGGAATAAGTGATCCTTAATCTCGCTGGAAATCCTCAAAGAGGTTAGTGATCGACTTACATAGAGTCGGATCTTATCTTAATCTAAACTTTAAAAAAAACACAAACAAACCAAAACCAACCTATGGAGAAACCCCTATACAAAACACACATAAAGAAATAACCTTAAAAACACAACTAACATTTAAACGAATATTTTCACGGCGACAGACCAGAGGGATAAAGAGCCGAGACTACAATTATAAAACAGAAAGGAGGTTTGTGTAGGAGGGAGAAACACGAATCATGAGATGAGACAAATATTAAAAAGACAAAAAAGGAGACTTGTTTTAGGGAAAGAATCAG